GGATATCGCACCCATTCAACACACATGGGCCGGGACCAACGGCTTTACTTCCCTTCCGAAGGAAGACGTGACCAGAGATTTTTATGCCTCAGAAAAATCCCACCGACCTCGGCTGGGATTGAACCCAGACCCATTGGGGTGTTAGAAAGCAGTCACGCTTACCACTACACCACCGGCGCCGGCACGAACAATCGTCGCCTATACCTCGAAAAACTGGTCTCAAACGACAACAAAGCCGTAAGCAAAGATGGTTTGTTTATGTTTGGAACCAAATTCGCATCTCGATTCACATATGGAAAATCAATGAGCGTAAACAGGTGAGGCACAGTCAATTTATCATCTCTTTCGTTTTCTGGCTGATTAAATGGACAACGAAATTTGACGTCACACTCCTTCAACCGTTTAAACCGGCAATATGTTATACAGTGACAGCTGGCCCAGCACAGCAAAATAGATGATTTGAGCTCGGGACATGCTGCCTACTGTCAAACGCTGCTGTTGGTATAGGCCTTGTCACTGGCCTGGTTTAAGCAGCAGGAGCAGATATGGGAATTGTCGCGTTTGTCATTGACGCACGACAAGATACATTAAAAAATGGTCATCCTGGAAAATTCTCGTCAAACAACAATTTCTTGTCGCACGACAAGATCACCACGACAAAATCAAGAATCCATCCAGTCGCGACTATCTATTCTATTCTATATCTATTCTATATGTCACTCATTCTGTTCCCTGAGACAAAGTCTATAGGTCGTTTAAAAAGTAGGATCACGACAAGAAACCATCCCTTCTAAAACGGAGGTCAGATTTAAAAAAGGCCGGAAATAATGTTAATTTCCTTCAATATTGGTATTTCCTATTTCAGAAAAAAGTGGGAAATACTGCCAAATACCCTTCAATATGAATATTTTCGGAATCGGGATGACGTCTCGAAACCAAAAATCGATATCCAGCGCCATCTTGAAATCCAAGATGGCGGCTACCAATTTCAGAAAAAGTGGGAAATACTGTCAAATACACTTCAATGTATATATTTTCTGAATCGGGATGACGTATAGAGACCAAAAATCGATATCCAGCGCCATCTTGAAATCCAAGATGGCGGCTTCCAATTTCAGAAAAAGTTGGAAATACTGCCAAATACCCTTCAATATGTATATTTTCGGAACCGGTATGACGTCTGGAGACCAAAAATGTTGTCCAACGCCATGTTGAAATCAAAAATGGCGCTGGCTGATTTCAGAAAAAGTGGGAAACACTGCTAAATACACTTCAATATGTATAGTTTCTGAATCGGGATGACGTCCAGAGACCGAAAATCGATTTCCAGCACCATCTTGAAATCAAAGATGGTGGCAGCCGATTTCAGAAAGAGGTGGAAATACTACCAATACCCTTCAATATGAATATTATCGGAATCGGGATGACGTCTAGAACGGAAAATCGATGTCCGACGCCATTGTTTAATTTAACGTGGTGGCTCTCAGATTCTAAAAAACTGTCACATACTCCCGGACCGAAAACATTACAGATTTGACGGCTAATGAAAACTGTTATTAGAGGAGAAGAATGCACCGCGGGCGAGAATGCTGCAACACCGCACGAGATTTTATGTGGAGCGATACAGACAAGCGCGGAACAGGTTTTTCGAATGAAGAAGCGTCAGCAGGAAGACCGAGATCGCGAGGCGCTGTAAAATCTGCACCACGTAAACGACACACGGAAGTTCTACGAGAAGCTAAATAGTTCGCGCAAAGGCTACGCGCCGCAAGCCGATATGTGCAAGGACTTCGACGGTAACCTTCTCAGGAACGAGTGTGAGGTGCTCGAGAGGTGGAAGCAGTACTATAACGAGCACCTCAACGGTGATGCAGCAGAAAACGAAGGTGGCACGGCAACAGACCTTGGAGCACGCGCAGAAGACGACAGGCTACCGGCCCCTGATCTTCAAGAAGTTGAGGAGGAGATCGGTCGGCTGAAGAACAACAAAGCAACTGGTGTAGATCAACTACCAAGTGAGCTATTGAAATACGGTGGTGAAGCACTGGCTAGAGCGCTGCACTGGGTAATTGCCAAGATTTGGGAGGAGGGGATATTACCGGAGGTGTGGATGGAAGGTGTCGCATGCCCATCTACAAAAAGGGCGGCAAGTTGGATTGCTGTAACTACCGCGCGATCACACTGCTGAGCGCCGCCTACAAGTTACTCTCCCAAATTCTATGCCACCGCCTGTCACCATTTGCAAGAGAGTTCGTGGTGGGATTTATGGGTGCTCGCGCTGCCACGGACCAAATTTTCGCGATTCGGCAGGTTCTGCAGAAATGCCGCGAATACAACGTGTCCACATATCATTCGTTCATCGATTTCAAATCCGCATACGACACAATCGATTGAGATCAGCTATGGCAGATTATGCACGAGTACGGATTTCCGGATACAAGGACGCGATTGGTCAAGGCGACGATGGATCGAGTGATGTGCGTTGTTCAAGTATCGGGGATAATCTCGAGTCCCTTTGAATCTCGGAGGAGGTTACGGCAAAGTGATGGACTTTCGTGTCTGCTATTCAACATCGCGTTTGAAGGTGTCATCAGAAGAGCTGGGATAGACACGAAGGGCACGATCTTCAGGAAGTCCATCAAGCTTCTAGGCTTCGCCGATGACATCGACATCATGGAACGAAGCTTTGAGACGATGACGGAAACGTACATCAGACTAAAGGCTGAACCTAGGTGGATTGGACGCGTCGAAGGCGAAATGTATGCGAGGAAGAGGTTCTAGGGAAGACAATCTTAGCCTCCCAACCCGAGCTAAGATTGACGGTGACGAAATCGAGGTGTTCGACGAGTTCGTGCATTTGGGCTCACTGGTGACCGCTGAAAATGATACCTACAGATTACCTGCATTATGGCAGGTAATCGTGCCTACTTTGGACTCCGGAGGACGCTCCGGTCGAATATAATTCTCCGCCGCACGATTAGACCGGTGGTCCTCTACGGCAACGAGAGCTGGACAATGCTCGTGGTGCTGCGTACCATCTACGGTGAAGTGCAGATCGATGACGGAACGTGGAGGAGGCGAATGAACCACGAATTGCACCAGCTACTGGAAGAACCAACCATTGATCTGAAAAAATGGGAACCCTAAGGGACGGCCCCAGTGCAGTGGTTATCATCCATACCAGTCACGCCAAAGTCACGAGTTCAAATCTCATCCCCGGACACGTCACGAATGACCCCAAATAAATAAATAAAAATATGAACCGTGTAGGTTCTCCTCGTAATTGAGTCGTGTCTATGTGAGCTTTTCAATCGGTTGAAGCATGCCTTTTGATTTTATGAAGAAGATGCACACATTTCACAATAAATTGACAGCTTGAACTGTGAGACGAAAAGTCTTACAAATATCTCCACGCTAGTCAGCGGGATTACCAAACATTGGAAAGTTTATATCATTTCCACTGCCAGAATGGGTTTTCTCAGATGGGATAGGTTTTATAATAATTGTGAAAAACGGGGCTAAAAATCCAAATGGAACATAAGCGAATAAAATACTAAAACTGGACACTAGAATAAAACAATACAATTTGCCGTTGCCATACCATACGAGCCACACTATCATAATTTAATAAGTAACTCTGTTGTTAAGGTGAATCCTTGCAGGGCCCTTTTCCTCAATACATTTAATAAGGGAAAATATTAAGGATTTGTAAATGTACACACGTCAAAATTACTATTGTTACACGTGACGTAATTCATATTTGACGTTCGTCGTGGAACGTACTCAAACATGTCATGTGAAATTAAGTGTTCCGAAATCGAAACATACGGATTTCGACGAAACGTACGTTTGATTGAATGTATTTGCTCGTCTCTTTCAACTAAGTCTTATGCCATAAAGCTGGGTTTAGATGATTCAAGTCAATTGATCAACTCAGTTGAATTCAATTCGCTTGAAAAGTTGAGCCTGGTCCAACTTTTTTCAATTCAAGTGAATTGATCAAGTCAGTTGAATGGCATGGTTTACACGTTCAATTCACGTTCAAGTCAGTTGAATTCAACTGACTTGATCAATTGACTTGCCCTGTCTAAGCCCAGCTTAAGGGCCACTTACATTTGTTAGTATAAGGGGGGCAAAATTTCCATAACTCTAGATAGAGCTGGAATTAGGGCATAACAGCCTTTGTAAACAATGACTTCTCTCGTTGATTTCAAAGAATTCAAGGCATGCCTACACAAACCAACATATCCATCGAGTAGGAGAAGTCTTTCCCTACTAGATGGTGATGTTGATTTGCCAGGGAGAGCCATGACTTTCGAGAAATCCTCGAGAGAAGTCATTGTTTACAAAGGCTGTTACGCCCTAATTCCAACTCTATCTAGAACTTTTCGTAGTGTGTATTTGACTGAAACTAACAGTGAATGTTTGCTGTGATTTATAGATCTATAAATCCAACATTTGAATTGCATGAAAAAGGACTCTGCGAGGAAACAATTAAACCTTATTATAGTAATTGGAGTATTTACAAGACTTACTCTTTTTAATTGTATTAGTTGATTGTGAAATGATTAAATATGGGTTGTATTTTATCTATCTCTGGGTTTTATGTATGAGTGAAATGACGTATAACGAAGAGAGGGCATCTCTACCAGAGGCTATACAATTAAAATGGAATGAGTTACTAAATATCATGACGGGAGCGATACTAAGGTATGAAGAAGAGTAAATATTTCAACCAAGCTGAAGATAAATAGCCTCAGGACACAATTTCAACCAGTAAAGAACAGGCGCTATCTAAATTCGAAACACTCGAAATGTGTCCCGTCGGTTCTGAACATTTTGAAACTAGCATATTATAGGAAATCGGAAATTCCCGCACTAGAGAAGAAAACAGGAAAAAGTCTCTAATCAAAGAATGGGGGGGGGGGGCACAGGGCGATGTGTGTGAAGAGGTACAACGGTCGGTACATTGGTATTAGCTCGCTCTCTGTCTCGCGCACCTTCTCGCTCGTTTGTGGTTCGTTTTTTATGCACGGTGGGTACCGCCTGATGGTGGCTGCTGCTACTGGTGGCGGCGGCGGCGGCGGCCTGCGCAGCTTTCAGTGCACCCATCGAGAGGGACTTGCGCGGTGGCTCGATTACCGAATCCTCCCGGCCAGACGGCCCACCGGCCCCCTTGATCGCCCTGCGCACGTTGGGCCACACGAACTGCAGGCGATACTCTGTGCTCAATTTGCTAATAGTTTTTTTGAATAGGCCACTAGACTCACCCGGCTGCAATTTGGTTCGTACGGTCGTATCGGATGTTGTATGTGTGGCCGCGGGGAAGAAAGAGAGAAAAGGAAGAACAAGAAAATGGGAGAATGCGATTAGTTGGATATTGCAATTTTATTTTTTGATATGTTTTATGATGTGTGTGTTTGAGAACATTTCTTAATACTAAAACAATTTCAGTCCGGTTCTTTGTGGGAAGTTTCACTTTCTTTTTAAGTTTGTTGCAGATTCAGACTGAAATTTCTTAACTAACATAAATGACTTGAAGTATTTCAAGCATACGAGGGAAACCTTAAACACAGTCCATCAATTATATTTAACAAATTTTGTACATCAATTCCGCTTGGGATCACCTAGAATGCATCCAGTGTCTCTCATATGTCGATGATTCATGATGAATGTAATGCGATCGATACATCTTCTTTGGAAGTTAATACTCGGATAAACAAAACATACGACAAACAAAACGGTTGAACTGAAAATTTAAAACCAAACTGATAACAAACAACTTGTTCCGCGTGAGTAACTGCAAAACAGAAGCTTCAAATAGAAAACAGATACAGAGGCAGTTTTCTTACGACATCAAAAGCAATATCAAGATGGCAATGGGTGTAAAGTATCTTAAAAGTAACAATCCAGGACGCACTCAACCAAAATCATAGGTGCACTCTTACTGAAAGCTGTCCAATCTTCTATACAATTCTCACACCAAAGGTTCATAATTCTCGAACAAAGCATTCTGCCATCGGTGGTAAAGTCAGTGGTGTACAAGTGTCAGTGTGTTGAAGGGTGTTTCACACAGCCACTCACTCTCACGCTCTATACAGGGAAGCCGGCCCATAACATCATACAACAAATTCATCAACATCGACGTCGGCGGACTGAGACCGTCGGCGGTGTCCTACCTGTTCCTGCGCCCTGACCTCGACCGAGACCGGCTCGTGCGCGATTCCGTTAGCGATTCCGGTTCCGGTCGGTAGCCGTCCGTTGGCGACCCCTGGTGGTCCTTCCGATTTACTGCGACGGGAAGGGGTCGTTCCGCGTTCTTCAGACTGTAATTAAAATGAATACATATTGCTTGTTTTTTCGGTTCTCTGAGTTTGGATCGGGTTTTTAATTTATTTTCGAATTTTTCCAAATGGTCGAGTTGGGGTTGGGGTACAAAATAGAAAATATGTTCTGTTTTTAATTGTAAGGGTTTGTCTTAAAATTTGGGTATGTATTGGCAGAAACTGTACTCTCAAATCGAAATGGTTTTTAAAGACGAAGCGATAAACAATAAAAGGCAAAAACTGGCATCTGTAATAATTGCGATTGTGTTGTGAACTTTTTATGTGGTGTGTATGTTTTTCATGGAAATGAAATAAATTATGTAAATATCTAATCAAAAGCCGAGTTTTCATTAATGATAACGTAATGATTTAGGCGATGCAATTGTTTCGGAACAAGAGAGATCTCATAATAAATAAAATATAAGCAAAGTTATTTTCAAATCAGATTCTTAGAGGTCTTGAGCACCTTTATTAACATGAGTTGTTTTTTGTGACGATTGTTTAAGATTCCATAATGCATGCATTTTATAAATTTTAGCGAGTAGGATAGAGAGAAAACTTCGGCCTAACCGCCTAATTCCGTCATGTTGAACATATAGAGGTAAAGCTTGAGTCATTTATTTATTTATTTATTAATTCATCTGATAAAGTTGTCCTAATGAATAAACTACTCGTTATCTTAAATAAGGTTCAGTCTTCTTACTCTATTCACAAATTGAGGTGTGGACATACCAAAATCAAACGCGGACTCGACGGATACAAATATACGAAGCATTGCACAAATAGGCTGGTTGTAGCCATACAGAGTACGATGAAAGCTCGGTTGCATCAGGGATTGCTGACGTAACATCCTACCTGAAGCATGGAAATCAAGCAGTGACAGAAGATGAGAGCAATCGACGTCACCGTTGAGTAATTTAGCTATAAACGTAGTCTGTTGTGGCTTACGTCTTCGATCAAACATTTGGAGGTCAAGCAGACGGCATCTATCGGGATACGCTGGAAGGTTCAAAGGATCACGCCACAGCAATAGCGTGCACAGGAATCTTGTTAAGGAGGAGCAATTTTTTTTATGGTGCATTCAACCTGGGTATGGGGAGTACTCCAAAGTGCGTGGTGGATGGTGCTATCCACCCACCACTGTTTTCCTACTGTTCAATTCAGCTAATTTTATTTATTTTTTGCTCTTGTGGTGGTTCATCTTCTTCAATGCAAACTGCTTTTAGACAGCCAATGGAAATTGGCAATTTAATCCCATCGACGATGTCGATAATGATCGGTTCGTTAAAAAGTTGTGATAGTAGGCTTTTAACCGAAATGATACATTTGCTGCAATATTGTTGCCTTGGTGGTTGGATTCAACTGAAGTCACGTCAGATGATGGTAATAGCACCGACAAACCGACATGAATGACCAATAAGAATCGCATTCTCCTTTCGCATGTAAACAGTGCGCATAGCAGTGAACAAACAAAGTACATGGTTTTAAAAAATTTCCACGCTTCCATACTACCAACATGGGTATCACTGCGATTTTGTTTGCCCAGCAAGTCGGTCGCTGTCTTCCAATTTCTGAACCCTGTAGAAATCGGATCGTCGAGCGAAATGTTTGATTGTGTAGAATTGGTTCTGAAAATCGAGAATAACATAGAAAATAGTTTTTGAAGTTTCTACAATTTCTTGGAAGTTTCATAAAGTTACAGTTGGAATAATATGTTGATAGAAAAATATTGTAATAATTTTTTGCGTCATGCTCTTCTTTACAGGTTAAAAATCTAAACCAATAAAAATATATTCTTCAGTTACCTTTCTAAAATTTTCTGCAGTACTTGGAACTGTCCTCAGAATTCAATTTCCTGAGGTTCTTCTCCGATTTTTTAGAAATCTCCTAAGAGCTCTTTTTAAATTCTTCTCAGAGGTCCACTGAAATTATATTTAGAACTCTTCACTTTTCTCAGAACACTTTGGAACTAAAATTCTTTTAGAGTTTCAGAAATTTTTACTGGAATTAAGTAGAAATTATCCTCAGAATTCGCTTGAAATTTTGCTTGAAATCCCTTTGGAATTTCACTCAAAATTGTCACGGCATTCTTTTCGAAATTTTCTTGGAATTATCTGCAGGATTAACATGGAATCATCCTCAGAAATCTTTTATTTTGGAACTGTCTACAGAATTCAATACCCTTGAGGTTCTTCTAGGAAGTCAAGTTTAAGTTGTCCGTCCATTCACCAAAACGTTGTAGTTTTTCTACCAGAAATGTTCAATAAAACTTGCCCCTTCATTCACCAGAACTGTGCAATTTTTACATCAGGAATTTTCAATTCAGCTTGCCCCTCCAGACAGCAGATTGTTGCAAATCTAACACCGTAAATTTTCAATACAAACTTGCCCCCAGGAGATTTTAAACCAGAAAATTTCAATTGAACAGAAGGATGCAAATTTTCCACCGTAAATGTTCAATAAAAATTGCTTCTCCAATCTTCTTATTGGTGCAGATTTCCTTTTTCCATTTTCCACCAGACATTTTCAATATAGCTTGCTTCTCCTATCATCAAAATGTTGCAGGTTTTTCACCAAATAAAGCTGCCCCTATTTACAGATTTTTTATCATAAATTTTCAGTAAAGCAGCTTTCCTCCAGTGATGGGCAACTGAACCAACCGGTGCGCACCGTGTGCTGGTTCGTGTTCAAAAAATACTCCTGTGTTTATGTAAGCGTGTACCCTGGTTCGGTTGAGTTTTAGTGTACCAGTGTGTTCTAAATCAAAACTGTGTGCCGGTTTTCGAGTTGATATTCAGAACCGCAGCTTGAAAACCGAAAACCGGTGTGCTAGAATTTTGGTTTTGGTACACGAGATATAAACGGTGTGCAGGGTTCAATTATATGTTACCAAAACCGGGTATACCGTTCTTGGTTCGGAACATTGGCAAGAATTAAATAGCAGTGCTCCCAAAACGGTGAGTAAAATATTTGTACCAAGCGACAGTTATTAATTCAATTGCCAAATATTTTGATAGACAATATTGGTAGCGAAGGAACTAGAAATCATTTTGAAGTCTGACAAATACCCTTCGATATGGGTATTTTTGGAGTCCGCGTGACGCCTATAGTCTGAAAATCGATAACCGATACCTTCTTGAAATCCAGAAGGCGGCATCCTGTTGCAGATAAACTGAGAAATCCTGTCAAATACCCTTCGATATGGGTATTTCTGGAATCGGGGTGACGTATAAATACCGGAAATCAATGTCTGACGCCATTTTGAAATCCAAGATGGCGGCTTACGGTTGTAGGAAAACTGGGAAACACTAGCAAATACCCTTCAATATGGGTATTTTCGGAATCGAGATGACGTATATAGACCGGATATCAATGTCAGACCCCTAATAAACGTGTACTATATACTGACGATATCTTAGATGGTGCGACCATACCACATAAAATTGGGATGATATCCCGAATTGGTGGTTAGGCGCATCTTATGGTTATTGTTTATGCGGGACACCATTAATTAATTTATTTATCTTTATTAGGGAGGCTTTCAGCCTGGGGCTGGTTCGCCTCCAATGTCAGACACCATCTTGAAATCCAATATGGCGGCTTCTGGGTATAGAAAAACTGGGAAGTAATGTCAAATACCCTTCAATATGGGTATTTTCGGAATCGGGGTGATGTCTAGAGACTGGAAATCAATTTCTGACGCCATTTTGAAATCCAAGATGGTGGCTTCTGGTTGTAGAAAAACTGCGAAATACTGTCAAATACCCTTCAATATGGGTATTTTTGGTATCGGGATGACGTATAAAGACCGGAAATCATTGACAGACACCATCTTGAAATCCAAGATGGCGGCTTCCGGTTGTAGGAAAACTGGAAAATACTAGCAAATACGCTTCAATATGGGTATTTTCGGAATGGGATGACCAATTTAGACCGGATCCAATATGGCAACTTCCGGTTATAGGAAAACTGAGAAATAGTAGCAAATACCCTTCAATATGGGTATTTTTGGAATCAGGATGAGGTTTATAGATCGGATATCAATGTCAGACACCATCTTGAAATCCAAGATGGCGGCTTCCGGTTATAGAAAAACTGGGAAATAATGTCAAATATCTTTCAATATGGGTATTTTTGGAATCGGGGTGATGTCTAGAGAGTGGAAATCAATGTCAGACGCCATTTTGAAATCCAATATGGCGGCTTCCGGTTTTAGAAAAAAACTGGGAAATAATGCCAAATATCCTTCACTATGGGTATTTTTGGAATCAGGATGACGTATACATACCCGAAATCAATGTCTGACGGCATCTTGAAATCCAAGATGGCGGCTTCTGGTTATAGAAAAACTGGAAAATAATGTCAGATATCCTTCAATATGGGTATTTTCGGAATGGGATGACCAATTTAGACCGGATCCAATATGGCAACTTCCGGTTATAGGAAAACTGAGAAATAGTAGCAAATACCCTTCAATATGGGTATTTTTGGAATCAGGATGAGGTTTATAGATCGGATATCAATGTCAGACACCATCTTGAAATCCAAGATGGCGGCTTCCGGTTATAGAAAAACTGGGAAATAATGTCAAATATCTTTCAATATGGGTATTTTTGGAATCGGGGTGATGTCTAGAGAGTGGAAATCAATGTCAGACGCCATTTTGAAATCCAATATGGCGGCTTCCGGTTTTAGAAAAAAACTGGGAAATAATGCCAAATATCCTTCACTATGGGTATTTTTGGAATCAGGATGACGTATACATACCCGAAATCAATGTCTGACGGCATCTTGAAATCCAAGATGGCGGCTTCTGGTTATAGAAAAACTGGAAAATAATGTCAGATATCCTTCAATATGGGTATTTTTGAAATCAGGATGACGTATAAAGACCGGAAATCAATGTCTGACGCCATTTTGAAATCCAATATGGCAGCTTCCGGTTGTAGAAAAACTGGGAAATAATGTCAAATATCCTTCAATATAGGTATTTTTGGAAT